GTTCGTTATACGGGTACGCAAAACGTTATAAAAATCAATATTTTCCTTTTATGCATGTTATTTAGTTACGTACTCTTAAATCTCACTTACCAGTTTCAAGCATGATATTGGAAGTGTTTCATCATGAAATTGTTGCTCTTCTTGAAAGAAACTCCATTCTCGTTGATTTCTGTTTACAACAACACCAAGGAATTAAAGAGATTAATGAAAAAAATAAAAGGATCTTTTTATAATTAGCGTTAACGTTAGATGATCCCGAACAAATACACAGTGAAACTCGATAGAGCGAATTTGGACTATTTTTCGGATCAGCTATAAATAACATAAATTTTGTCTGTTATCGTTATAGTGGATCCGTCGATTTACCGGACAGCATGGCAGGAACGGAGGGATTCGAATTTCACTGTGTAGAAAGTAACGAGAATGATGGAAGAACAAATTATATCTTCATCCTTCCCCACGTTGCTTGGAGTCAACAAGTACAATTCCTAGTCATAATGAAAAATGAGTAATCTAAATTATTTATTGTCATCATTACGATTATATTATTTAATGTACATGTACATGTATATAAAAGTCCTAATTTTGTTTTACAAGTCAATTCTTCGTAATTTGAATTAATATATTTGCGAAGATTGCCATGCATAATAATAAATCATTAAGTTTAGCTTGTAGCCGGATTTTTAGTTATTTATTCAAAAGGACTACGTACACATTAGAGCAGCCTGAATCTATTTTTGGAAAAATTTTTTATTAGAAGGCAAAAAAGCATCATGCTTAACGGTTTACGTATTTATAAACTCTAATGTAATTGGGTTTGAATTGTATAATAATTTCAACACAACTTCTTTGTATTCATGTTCTCGTTTAAATTTATTTTCATTATGATCCCATTTTATTAATTTATGCAACGATGCTTTATAAACTCTCCTTTTGCAAGATATTCAACATTGGTGAATCATTAAAAAAAAATAATCTCCGCGCATTTTTTTATTAGACTGTCGATATATTTATTTTTACTAGACTACTCACCTTCATAAATTGAATATGATAGTTAAAACACCAATCGCAGTGCTCACTTTTTTGACAACGAGTGCATTTACTACAGTCATAAGTATACGAAATGTTAGAATCCATCTTTGAGTCCAATTTTTATTTAAAACTTTGTGATGTTAAAATAAACGATGCTTTATATGTGTGGAAGTTGATTCTGCATTAAACACCGATTGTGTGTAAAATCGATATTTTGGTGTTAAAAGAAGAGCCACACCTTTAAAGAACTTCCGCTATCGATTTTTGCATTAATACTATGCACATTACGCCCACTATGTGGGTCGATATTAACGAACATAAAATTATTAATAGTACATATGTAAACTCAAAATTCGTCGAATATGTTACTATCGCTATCGCTATTAATGATTTAGACGTGTATTTAACTTAACGTTAACTTAATTTGTGTGTAATTTATCACTATTGTCATGTACATATAGCGATAGAACTTGTGCAAATCGATTTGCTTTATTGTTCAATAATTTGTTGCAGGTAAACTGACGCCAATTTCGCACAAATGAAGACGATTCATATGATATGATGTTAGCGCAGTTTTTATAAATCCAGTTGATATTTATTTATTTATTTCTATGAATACTGTATAGTATCTGGATCACGAATATACTTTACGTATACATATACCGGTACGTACAGTAGATGTTTTGTCCATAAATTAAATACTATTCAGTTCTTGGAGATATTTGCATTTTTTGATTATTTAAATACGAATTAATCAAATACATAATATTGACAAGTGAAGAATTAACTATAAAGATATAATGGAAATTATCTCGGACAACAATCAAAAGTTGATCTATGGTTCAATAGTCTTTTCAGAACATTTACACAATCTTTTAAGTTAAACAATAAATATCTATACTTATCGTTATTGACTAAACAAGAATTTCAAGCATTATTAACAATTCTGGATATGGTGCATAAAATCTAAAGTCATCAAACGTTTGTATTTTATAAAATGTATAAACTTCTCAATTAAGAAATAAATACAAAATTTAATCCGTGAATATGCTCAGAAAAGGCCTATTCTATCATATTCACGATTAAATTTTGTATTTACTTCTTAGTAAAGAAGTTTATACATTTTGTAAAATACAAACGTTTGATGACTTTAGATTTTATGCACCATATACAAATAATACGGTTGAAATACATCGTTACTATTGGACAATTACTTACAGGTTAATGGTTTTATGGGCTAGAGTTAGGGTTAAAATTAGAGACGGGATCATATGCAAAATCAATGCTCCAAGCTAGATTTAAGCAGCTGTTTCTTGTACATGTACATGTATTATCATTTTCTTGTTTCGGACTTGTGCTACTCGGAATATCCAATTTGGGTTTACATGAACTATATTAATATATATACATGTACATGTACATGTATATGGTTTTAAGGTTGGACTGTATAATTTTCAGTCCATGGTCTGGTAACCGATCCAGGACTGGTTATATTTTTAACTATTAATCACTTATCTTATTTATATATACTCCTTTAATATACTTTAATTTTGTTTGCTTTAAAAAATGTGACATTTTAAATTAATTTTATTTCGTTTTGTTTGTTCTAACAATTGTCGAAAATTCACATTTATTTTTTTATAAATCAACATTGTTATAATATAATAATAATGCATAAATTAATAAACTATTATCGTTAAGGTAGAGACATACATAAATCACGTAATTTCCTGTTGATCCTCATCAAAAATCACGTAATTTATGTCTCTAGCCTTAATATATTATGACTTCATTGAATACAGTAGTCTGAGAAACTGGTCTTTGAGCTGAGACTGATTTATAAAACCATTTTATAGATTAGACTGATCCGAAAAGAATAATAAACCGGTTTTTTTGGACTGGAACTAACCGGACTAGACTAATCCAACCCTAACTATGCCCTCGTTGATTTAGACCGCAAAGCAAAGTTTACATCCTGGGTAAAATATCCTTTAAATTCAGGCTGAATATTACTGAAATTTAGACCAAAATCTGGTGCCAGGTTAGATATCCCCATGTAATATACCCTCTTCATACAAGGTACAAATCAAGTCAAATATGCGGGTCTCTTGCATCGCGAATTACGGTATACGCCTGTCCAGTGATTATAATCATTAAACTACATAAGTCGCATTGCAGCAGATTTTTATGGCGTAGACATGATAGACTACTAAAATTGGCAAACCTTATAGAATTGGGTTTGCATAGATGCACACCACTAAAAATAGACCATAGACAATGCCAGATGTGCGTCATGTTACATATGTCGAAGAAGGGGTCTTGTCTAACAGCAACAAGTATTTCAGACAGAAACTTTTCTCATTCTTCATTTTTCGAATTGACAAGAGGCAACTCGAATCAAAACATAAAAATGACTATCTTCAAGCAACTTCTTGTGGTCGCTTTGATTCTGGCAATCCGTCTTTTCGCTTCATCTGACGCAATTCCCGTTCCTCAAAACGGCATCCCATTTCTCATTCCACTAAACAGTATCACAATTCCCGTTTCACCCATTCCTATTTCACAAAACGGCGGCGATGGTGGGCTCAACATCAGCAAAGACGGCGTCAGCATCGGCAGCGGTAAAAGTATCAACATCGGCAACGGCAAAAACGTCCAAAACACAGGCGTCAACATCGGCGACGGCCACAGTGGCGATGGCAACAACGGCCCCACCATTGTTAACAGCGGCATCAACGTCGGCGACGGCCACAGTGGCGACGGTGATAAAGGCGGCGTCGGTATCGTTAACAGCGGCGTCAATGTCGGCCCCGGCAACGGCGGCAACAGCATTAACGGCGGCACCGGTGGTACCGGCACCATTAATAACGGTCTCAACATAGGCATCGGCAACGGCGGCGATGGCATTGACGGCGGCGTCGGTGGTATCGGCATCTTTAACAACGGCATCACCATCGCCAAAGGCTACGGTGGAAACGGCTACGGCATCGGTGGTTATGGTGGCCCCGGCATCTTTACCGGAATCGACGGCCTAAGCTTGGGAAGCATCGGCATCGGTGGCAACGGCTACGGCAGTAAGAGGTAGTAGACTATAAATTGAAATCTATTTAACGAACATTACAAATGAATTTATATCGATATTATATATTTCGAAATAAATTTATCTTTATTTATTGAACAAACCTATTTAACGAACAATACAAACAAATTTATATCGATATTATATATTTTAACGAACAATACAAATGAATATTATATAAATTTCCCTTAGTGAACAGCTGAATGCTTAATATCGGTATTAACTATTAACGAACAAATGTATTCGAAAACTGTTTACAACAATTAAATAAATTTATTTGATTCAGTGTCAATAATAAATCACTACAAATATAAATATAACGATAACGATAACGATAATCTTTATACTAAAAAATTATAACTATTGCAAATATAATTTTTGATAATGTTATTGAGTATATTTCGACCAAAAAACCAACTTTTCATTTTTAGGTGGTTACTATATTTTTGTTGGCTTCGGGCATTCAGAGCTTTTTTGCATGCATTAATTTATTTGTTATAGGATCTATAAATTTCCCACAAACTGAACATTTCCAGCATTTTTCTCTAATAATGCAAAAATCTCTCTACCCGATGACTCTTTATAATGTCTCAACAAAATCTATTAGTAAAAATCCACCATACCGAGAGTTTATTAGTAAATCTACTATCGCTATATATATATCGATATCGAACAGGATTACTATCGTATTACTATCGCTATCGCTATAGCCAATCTAATACACTATTAAAGATTCTTATTTTCTTGTTGTGTACGTAACTGCTTTAAAATACGTACATGTACGTACTTTACTATGGTGTACGTAACTGCTTTAAAATACATGTACGTACTTTACTATGGTGCGTACGTATGTTGATCATTCCGGATTTTCAAAAAAAGTGTTGGTCACGTGATTTTGATCCCGATGCCGACACCAATTCTCTTAATTTTAATGCATATCGATATATAATATTAAATAGAGTTTCGATTAAGGTTAGGGTTAGGTTAAGGTTAAGATTATTGTATAACAAACATGAACTAGTGATTGAACTCACACTCGAGTTAACTCGAGTGATCACTCTGACTCAAGTCAAGTTTGACTCGAGTTATACAATGGTTCACACATGTAACAAAACACGGAAATTAACTTATTAGGATTTTTATTTCCATGACTATTAGTTTGAACAAAATAAAAGTGTTTATTTGAAATCTTGAAATTACTAATATTTTTTAAAAATAATTTAGCAACAGATTATTTTGTAAAATAAAGTAATCTAAATCAAAATTTGGATCATTAATTAAAAATATTCTACTCTATAAAATCTATCTATTTACTCATTTTTATAAAAATTGGCTTAATTTTTATAGATATTTAAGATCTTAAAGACTAAATCTATGCTAAGAGCATCAATATATAAATTAATGCTTATAACATAAATTCAGTCCTTCAGAATCTCAAATCTCAATGAATTTTGTAACAATTTTTATGAAAATTGGTAAATAGATAGATTTTATAAAGTAGAACATTTTCAATTAGTAATCCAAATTTGAATTCATATAGAAAAAAGTTTTACAATATGAAAAATCTACTAATTGTAAATTTTAATTTAAATCATTTTATTTTACAAAATAATCTGTTATTAAATTATTTTTAAAAAATATTAGTTATTTCAAAGTTTCAAATAAATACTTTTTTATTTTGTTCAAACTAATAGTCATAAAAATAAAAATCCTAGTAAGTTAATTTTCATGTTTTATTATATATGTGAATTATTATATAATTCAAGTCAAACTTAATTCGAGTTAATTCATTTTGTGACTCATATTTTGACTTAAGTACTCTTTGAATTAGAAAAATTATGACTTGACTTGACTTGAATCAAAATGAGTTGATTTGAGTTCAATTACTAACATAAATATAATAATAAAATTTTGCAAAAAATCATTGTTTTTAGAATATAAATAACCAATTTTATATATATTTTTATATTTCTATATTTGATAATTTCAGTATTAATATAGTATCTTATTAATATAGCTATCTAATTAATTATTAATTAACAATTAGTAATTTATTTAATTAATTATTGTAAAAAAAAGATGAAATTAATTCTATTATATAATCAAATCTCTCTATAGTCACCACTCTCAGAAAAGCAAAATTTGGTGATTATAGAGAGAATGTGATTATAAAGAAATTTTTTTTATTATGTTTATATGTAAATGGAAAAGCAAAATAGAGTGATTATAGAGGTATGTGACTATAAATAGGTGTGACTATAGAGAGATTTGACTATATATATAGCTAATTCAATCTAATTAAATCAGTTCAATATAATTATATTGAACTGGTTTAATTAGATTAAACTGACTTAATTTAGATTATGATATAAAGATCATAAAACTTAAGTTATCTAAGTAATATAAAAATTGCAAAACTCAAATGATTTAAATGATATAAATATTATAAAACTCAAGTTACTTAAGTAATAAATAAATTACAAAACTCAAGTCACTTAAATAACATATTGTTACAATAGTAACATAAAAATCGCAAATTCAAAAATAATTAAAAATATGAAAATTTCAAAAATATTCAAATAATGACAAAATTCTTTAGTATTATTTCACTTTTATTATTTTACTTTTACTTTTTACTTTTTATTTTTCACTTTTTAGAAATTTTACTTTTTATTTTTCACTTTTTAATTATTTTACTTTTTATTTTTTCATTTTTATTATTTCAATTTTTCAATTTTTCACTTTTTATTTTTCACTTTTTATTGTTCATTTTTATATATATTATTTCACTTTTATTATTTCACTTTTATTTTTTTACTTTTATTATTTCACTTTTTCGATTTTTCACTTTTTATTTTTCATTTTTATTTATATAAT